TACACATGCTAAGCAAGCGTTCTACCACCAAGTCACAATCCCAGCCCCATGCCTGTTGAATTTTGAAGCAAACAATGGGACAGAAGTTTTTATAAGCATATATTACTAAATTTTACTTTTGACTATTTCACAAAATCATTTAGTAAATTTACTTTGCAGATTGGGCTGTATTTTATTTATTTATTTATTTATTTATGTTTATTTTTTAGTTGTAGTTAGACACAATATCTTTGTTTTATTTATTTATATGTGGTGCTGAGGATTGAACCCAGGGCCTCACACGTGCTAGGTGAGTGCTCTACCGCTGAGCCACAACCCCAGCCCCATGGGCTGTATTTTATATTGTTGCTGTATCAAATTATTACAAATTTAGTTGGCTATTAAAATAACACAGACATTTTTTTTTTTTAAAACAGTTCTGGAGGTCAGAAATCCTACATGGGTCTTATTAGGCATTTTCCTTCCGAATTCAGGCTCCAAGGGAGAAGAATTTCCTTGCTTTTTCCAGCAGAGGTTAAGAACCTGAGTACTTTCTCTTTTCTCTCTTTTCCCTTACTTATTGTTTGGGTACTGCCAAACCCCAGGGATGCTCTACCACTGAGTCACATCCCCAGCCCTTTTTCTTTTTATTTTGAGACAGGGTCTTGCTAAGTTGCCTTAGGCTGCCCTTGAACTTTAAGATACTCCTACCTCAGGTTCCCCAATAAAAAAATTCCTTTTCTCCTGGTCTCTATCTTCAGTGCCAGCAACCTAATATCTCTCTGACTCTGACTATGCTTCTCAGGCTACCTCTTTCGTGAATAAGGATCCTTGTGATTATATTGGACCCAACAAGATAACCCAGAGTAATTGTTCCATTTCAAAATTAGTTGATAGGCAATGTTAATTCAATCTGCAATGGAAAGTCTTTCCTTGATAGGTAATATAATATTTTCACATATTTTGGGATTTAGGATGCAGTCATTTTTTTCTTTTTTTTGTGGGGGGTGGGTGTGGTACTGTGGATTGAACTCAGGGCACTGGACCGCTGAGCCACATCCCCACACAGCCCTATTTTGTATTTTATTTAGAGACAGAGTCTCACTGAATTGCTTAGTGCCTTGCTTTTCCTGAGGCTGGCTTTGAACTTGAGATCCTCCTGGCCTCAGCCTCTAGAGCGACTGGGATTATAGGTATGTGCCACCACACTTGGCTTCATTTGACCCTTCTAAAGTAAATTTTGTTTTCAGAATTTATTCTTTCTAGACTTTGCACAGTGCTGAAAAATAGATGAGTAGCTTAACTCTTAATTTGTTCTATGATTTTTTTTCTAAGGGGCAGAAGAAATTTATTTTTATTATTCTATATATCTTTCATTTTACATCAGCATTCATGATTTTTAATAATCAACAGCAAATTAAAATTGTGGCCCTTGAATTTACACACTTTCAAAATAAAGGATTTAAAAAATATTATAAGGGCTGGGGTTGTGGCTCAGAGGTAGAACATTTGTCTAGCATGTGTGAGGCACTGGGTTCAATTCTCAGCACCACATAAAAATAAAATAAAGAGATTGTGTCCACCTAAAACTAAAAAAATAAATATTTAAAAAATATTATAACAAGTTAGTATTGAAGGAAAATATTTAAATCACATGTATGCAAGTTTTTTTTTTATGAAAGAGAAGGATTCACCTAAACTATAAAGAACTATACAATAAATTATCAAATTGGATCTTAACAACAACCCACAAAAATCTATTTGAAATTCATTCATTTGAACATTAATTCATTCATTCAATATATTATTGGGCAATTTACTATAGGCATGGAATTACATCGGAGACTCAAGGGAAAATTAGAAAGCAAAAAACAAGTGTAGCAAGTTAATGGAAGTGTACACAGTTCAAGATATCACTGCTTTCAAAAAATAAAAAAGAAGTGTTACATGGAACAGAAGTAAAATTGTTTAAGTACTCAGAAGCAACTGGTTTGCTATATTCAGCATTTAAAACTCTTACTGGAGTGTTGTGTTCAGTCTAGGGCTCCAAACTACACACAGATAGGAAATCATGGAGACTTTTCACAGAAGAACCACAGACAATTAAAGGATTAAAAAGTAATGTTTATGAGAAAAGGCTACAGAAAAGGGATTAGTTAGCCTGCAAAAGAGGATAGAATGGTGGCTTAATGTTGACTTTAAAATAAGCAAGGGTTCTAAAGATACTGGCTTACTATTCTCTCCCTCAGCTGAGAAAAGAAAAATAAGGAAATGGTTTGAAGCTACATCATCAAGTCAGACACAAGTAAAAAGTGAGGGTTGTTAGATGTTGGTATAAAGTCATGGCATTTCTTCTCAAGGAGCTTGGTCTTTAAAACTAAGATTGATTTTCGTCTACTTAAATGACTTCCCAAATCCCCTTCATCCTTCTGGTTCTTTCTCTGGAGAAAGGATTCCTTGACCTGGTTTAGCAATCCATTCCTAAGCCCAATAGCTTTCAAGGTCAGGAAGCTCTGTAGTATAATTCATCTAATATAGTTTCAGAGGTCTTAGTTCAGAGAAGGCTGGTTTCCAATCTTCGGGGCTCCAGGTAAAGCTGAACATCATGGCGGAAGAGTGTGGCAGAGGGAAGCAGCTCACAGGGTGATCAAAAAGCAGAGAGAGATGAGATGTTCTATGATTTGAATCTTAGTCTAAAAGATAAAACTCATTTTTAAGCTATAGGCTTTTGTACTTACTATGATTATTGTTAAAAGGATTGCTATAGAAAATAATTAACGGGGCACTAATTGCATTCTTTATTTTTTATTTTTAATTTTTAGTTGTAGATGGACACAATATCTTTATTTATTTATTTTTACGTGGTGCTGAGGATCAAACCTAGGGCCTCACATGTGGGAGGCAAGTGCTTTACCACTGAGCTACAACCCCAGTCCAAATGCATTTTTAAGTTAATTTGCTTAGGATTATATTGTGTGTTTCTGGATAGTGTTTTTGGAGGTAATGTTGTCATCTCTTATTCTTTCTTTGGGCATGTTAACTCAGGTCTTTCAAACTCTTAAAACCTTTCTTCTGTGAGGCAAGCACATGTGAAGGAGTACAAGGTGAAGGAGAGTAGATCTATACATCTCCACAGTAAAAGGAGTAGGTGGCAGAAATGGCTGTCAAAAAACCCTGAAGGAAAATTTAGAGACAGGCTTATACCATATTATTCCTACTTCCATGTTGACAAACAAAACATTTATATGTTAGCATTCTCTTTTTTTTTTGCCATACGATTTATTTTTTATTTTTTTTTAGTCATACATGACAGCAGAATGTATTTTGACATATAATACATACATGGAATGTACATACGTCAATCATAATGTCTGTTCTATTCTGCTGTCCTTCCTTTCCCCCCTACTCCTCCCTATATGTTAGCATTCTCTAGCTCATATTGTAGATGTTCTAGATGGAAGCAGTTGTCAGCTAATTCTGTCTTATTAGAAACTTAGGCAAGTAATTGAGATTTTTCTCAATTCTCTGGTTTGAAAAAATCTTTCTAGATTGCCTTATGGTGTATTCCTTTGCAAATATAACTGATATTTAAATATGATTTAAGTTAGAATGTGTCTGAAGATCGAGTTGTAACCAGAGATTTGATTCTTGTGGCATGACAGGATTCTGTGATTCTGGGATATCTTTCCTGTTTCTGATCCTTCTCTGTCCTATCATTACACATTTGGGCTTATTTCTAGCATGGGCCCTACAGTTCTCTAAAAACAGGAAGTAAGTATTCAATTGACACTTATTTTAATGTGTGCATCAGAATAAAATGAATTTCATAAAGTTTCTTGTGCCCTGAGTTGTAAATTCTTGCTCTCAAATTTTGTTTTTCATATGTGAAGTATTTGGTACTGTGTGCCTAGAATGTAGATTTGTGGATGATTTGAGTTTGATAGTACTTTTGGTATTATATTCAAATTTTTACTTGTTAAAAATTAAAATACCTATTCCTTATTTTCATGGAGGTGATAGATTCAAGTACCGTTTTTAGTTGTCAAACTTCATCAGAAGTGTATTAGAATTAGAAGTAAAAGAGGTGGCTGGGGCTGGGGCTCAGTGGCAGAGCTCTTGCGTAGCATGCATGGGGTGCTGGGTTCAATCCTCAGCACCACATAAGAATAAACAAATAAAATAAAGGCATTCTGTCCATCCACAACTACCAAAAAAAGTTAAAAAAAAAAAATAGAAGTGAAAGAATGTGTTTCAGGATGTGTTATTATATTTACCTCATTACTCTTATGATAGATAATACAGTACAGTGGCTCAGCTTCTTAGCTAGTTACTTTGCCTTAGGCATTTTATTTCTTTAAGTCTTACTTTCAGCATGTAAGAAATATGAATAAGGAGAAGTGGCGTGCCGGGCGAGCGGGCGGCCAGGCGGACAGCGGCCTGTCGCTCTCAGCGGCTGGTGGGCCTAAGCACCGCGCCTAGCGTGGCGGGTTCCCTGCCTCCCTGCATGGTAGACTGTGGCACCGGGTATTGCCATCAGAGAGTCAGCAAAGGTGGTTGACCAAGCCCAAAGGAGAGTGTTGAGGGGCGTTGATGACCTTGACTTTTTCATAGGAGATGAAGCCATCCATAAGCCTACCTATGCTACAAAGTGGCCAATTCGACATGGAATCATTGAAGACTGGGACCTTATGGAAAGGTTCATGGAACAAGTGGTTTTTAAATACCTTAGAGCTGAACCTGAGGACCATTATTTTTTAATGACAGAACCTCCACTGAATACACCAGAAAATAGAGACTATCTTGCAGAAATTAGGTTTGAATCATTTAATGTACCAGGACTCTACATTGCAGTTCAGGCAGTGCTGGCATTAGCAGCCTCTTGGACATCTCGACAGGTTGGCGAGCGGACCCTGACAGGGATTGTCATTGACAGTGGAGACGGAGTCACCCATGTTATCCCAGTGGCAGAAGGATATGTCATTGGAAGCTGCATCAAGCACGTCCCGATTGCAGGTAGAGATATTACTTATTTCTTTCAACAGCTGCTAAGGGAGCGGGAGGTGGGAATCCCTCCTGAGCAGTCACTGGAGACAGCAAAAGCCATTAAGGAGAAATACTGTTACATTTGCCCTGATATAGTCAAGGAGTTTGCTAAGTATGATGTGGATTCCCGGAAGTGGATCAAACAATACACGGGTATCAACGCAATCAACCAGAAGAAGTTTGTTATAGTTGTTGGGTATGAGAGGTTCCTGGGACCTGAAGTATTCTTTCACCCAGAGTTTGCCAACCCAGACTTCATGGAGTCCATCTCAGATGTTGTTGACTCGGATGTTGTTGATGAAGTAATACAGAACTGTCCCGTTGATGTCCGTCGCCCGCTGTATAAGAATGTCGTGTTTCAGGAGGCTCGACAATGTTCAGGGATTTTGGACGTCTGCTAAGAGCCACAGCTGAGTCGGTATGGCCCCTGGCATTTTGCCAACAGTATTGGTTGACAGGCGAGGCATTACTATCCGCCTCGGCCACTACTTTGGAGTTCTCACGCTACTTTGGAGTTCTGTGGGGATTCCTGGAGAGTTCCCATTGGTTGGGGAAGTGCAGGAGGAGGGATTTCCGGAGGGGATATTTCTGGTTGCTGGTTCCTGGAGGAGCCGCGTGGCAGATTTCCCAGGAGCGCGTGTGAAGTGTGCTGGTAGAGTTCAGAAATAAAGTTTGTTCCTGCTTCAGTGGCTCGTGATTTGTGCCCAGCCAGACTGCGGCATTTGGCGGCCTGTTCAGGGAACGCCTGAAGCTCCGGGGTAAGTGAAATTGCTCGCCCATAAGGGAAGGAGAGAGAATGGGTGACCATTTCAGAAAACAATGTGTTCTTGTTTTGATTGGTTTTGCTTTTGTTTCAAGCTGCCTATCCCTAGAACATTCTCAGGCAAACTGGGAAAAATGGTTGGCTCAAGGTTTGAAGTTGTTCGCCCCTGAGGAAGAGATAGAAATAGACCACAAATGCACATGTCAAGAAAATAGGAAAATTGATACAACGATTTTTTGTTACGTTTTTGTTTCATTCTGTTTGGGTTTTGTTTTGTGTTATCTTATTGGATTGCGTTATCTTTATAGTAGATTAGAAATTAGTAAAAAACAAACCAAAAGAGTGTTAAGTAAATTGTTAGAGGTTCAGACCATGGAGAAAGACATTGTAGATCAAGTAAAAGAGAAGGTCTCTCGAGCTAGTCAGATAGAGGAAGAAAATTTAAAGGAAAAAAGCTTAGAGGAGAAACAGCTATTAGGGAAAAAGCTACAACAGGAGGCTGCTACTAACACCGTTCTATCACCAGAGGGTGTAATTCAACCAACAGCTCCACCTATGGAGACAGCTGAGTGGCCCCCAACCACGTAGTTGATAGATGGGATCCTGAGATAGTACCTCAAAGATTAGCATGCCCTGTACTTGAGCAGGCAGGAGGGCAGCGAATTCACTGTGCTTTAGATTTCAAAACAGTAAAGCAGTTAAAGGAGGCTGTAACAACCTATGGTCTTCAAGCACCCTTCACTGTAAGCATGGTCGAATCCATTACCAACTTGGACATGACGCCAGCAGATTGGGCTAGCATGTGTAAATCTGTGCTAAATGGAGGACAATATTTGTTATGGAAGGTTGCCAATAAGGAATTTTGCATGGAGACGGCTAGGCGAAATGCAGCAGCCGGTTACCCTCAAAGAAATCTAGATATGTTGTTAGGGAAAGGACCTTATGAGGGTCAACAGCAACAAATTGAATATGATCCTGCTATATATGCACAAATTGCTGCAGACGCAGTTAGGGCATGGAAGACTTTGCAAGGACATGGAGATTTACAAGGTCAGTTATCTAAGGTAATACAGGGAGCTAATGAACCTTATGCTGAATTTGTAGGTAGGCTTATTCAAAGAGCTACCAGAGTTTTTGGGGATACAGAGCAAGCAATGCCATTAATTAAACAGCTAGCCTTTGAGCAAGCAAACAGATGGTGCAAGGAGGCCATTAGACCATGGAAACATGGAGAGTAGATCAACTCAAATCACTTAACGACTTACAAAAGTTATTAGGAGACATAAATTGGATAAGGCCTTATCTAGGCATACCAACAGGAGAGTTGGGACCTTTATTTGATATCCTAAAAGGTCCATCAGATCCAAATTCACCCCACATGTTAACGCCTGAAGCAAGAAAGGCATTAAAAATTATTGAAGAATATATGGAAAATATGCATTTGGATAGAATTGATGTAAGTTTGCCTTTATTATTTATTATACTACCAACAAAAAATATTCCTACTGTAGTATTTTGGCAAGAAGGTCTATTATTGTGGATACATTTATCTTATTCTTCTAACACTATTCTTACTAGGTATCCTGAGGCTGTAGGACAATTAATACTCAAAGGAATAAAAGCAGCAAAGGGAGTGTTTGGAATTTCTCCCAATAAAATTATTATTCCATATACTATGGATCAAATTGCTGAGTTAGCTAATGAGTTAAATACTTGGGCAGTAATCATGTGTAAATCTAATGTTTCATTTGATAATCACTTACCATCTAATCCTTTGTTGTCTTTTGGTCTTTGTATCCTGTAGTTTTTCCAAAAATGACAAGAAAAACCCCTATCATGAATGCTCCAAATGTATTCACTGATGGGTCAAATAATGGTACAGCAGCAGTAGTTACCCCGATCAAACTTTTACATTTTTATTACCCAAACAATCAGCTCAAAAGGTAGAGCTTAATGCAGTATTACAAGCTTTTGTGATGTTTAAAGATACTGTATTTAATTTATTTTCTGATAGTCAGTATATAGTTATTGCTATAGTATCCCTTGAAGATGCTGGTAGGATTTCCGCTTCCTCTACTGTTTTCCACTATACAAAGTTTAATCTGGGACAGAAAAGATCCATTCTTTATAGGACATATCAGAGCACATACAGGATTGCCTGGAGCCCTTAGATTGGGCAATGATTTAGCAGATAAAACTACACATGACATACATATTTTCTCTGCACTAGAAGAAGCTACAAATTTTCATAAAAGGTTCCATGTCAATGCTAATACTTTACAAAAGCGTTTTAAAATAACTAAGGAACAAGCTAGACAAATAATAAAACAATGTCAAAATTGTGTGACCTTTTTACCACAAGTTAACCTTGGAGTCAATCCTAGAGGACTGATACCTAACCATATTTGACAGATGGACGTCACACACTTGCCAGAATTTGGAAAGTTAAAATATTTGCATGTTACAGTTGATACTTCTTCCGGATTTTTGATGGGCTCCCTTCATTCCGGAGAAAAAACTAAAGATATTATAGCTCATTGCTTACAAAATTTTGCCACTGTGGGCGTTCCAAAACAGTTAAAAACAGATAATGGTCCTGGCTATACCTCTACCTCTCTTAAACAATTTTGCTCATCATTTGGCATTACTCATATAACAGGAATCCCATACAATCCCCAGGGACAAGGCATAGTTGAAAGAGCTCATCAAACTATTAAAATGTACTTATTAAAGCAAAAAGAGGGAATTGGAAAGGGGTATATATCCCCCAAAGATAAACTTAAAATAACCCTTTTTACTCTAAACTTTTAAAATTTGGATTCCTCAGGGCTTAGTGCTGCGGAAAGGCATATGTGTCCAAAAAATGTACATAAGCCTAAGGTACTTTGGAAGGATATTCTAACAGGACAATGGAAAGGTCCTGACCCAGTGATTGTCTGGAGTCGGAGTTCTGTTTGTGTGTTTCCACAGGGAGAACAGCAGCCGATTTGGATTCAAGAGAGATTAACCAAAGTGATTTCTACAGACCAAAAAGAAGATGATTTGACTCAAATCCATAACAGCTGATATCCAGAGCTCCAGCTTGGCTATTCTTACATCTGCGACAGTGATTAACCAGGATGCTTTTTTCAATATCTATTTTATTATTGCCTTTTCCCACATCATAAAGTTCTATTTTATTTTTTGATCTCATACAGACCTAGGTTAATGTTTTTCTGATCAGTTTTACTTTTTGACTGTGGAGTTTTTAAACATTGCAATGGAGATTTCACCTGTGTAAAGCTACAAGGCTTTTATTATTGTCTTATGTGTTGTATGTTTGTGTGCACACTTGTGTTTTGTGTTGTATGTCTGTGTGTGTGTATGTCCATATATCATATATAAGGAGCACTCATGAAAAAATGGATCCGAATTTATTTTTATTCATGTGATTTTAATGGTTTAATTTAAATTGGGTAAACAGCTGTTGAGGATTGTTTTAATATGTGAACAAATAAGGAGGTTAACAGATCTGTTTGTTTACTTTCACCTTTCCTTTTCATTATATTTAATAATTCTGTTCAGGATAATGTAAATTGTTCAGAAAATTGTTTTTTTAGTACCTGTTGGAATGTTACATAATTTTTTTTTTAGCATCATTGCCAGAATTCCTTTCTTCATCCCATTGCTGGTGAAGACAAAGATAAAACCAAACTACAGCTTCTTCGATAGTTATCACAACAAACTGTATAAACTGATGCATGAATGAATAATAACTCAACAAGTAATGCTCAATCAAGGAATCGATTTACTTTGGGAGGAAATGGACATATTCATAGATTTCTCTGCTTTGAACCGCTTGCAGAACTTGCCTGGACTATGTATCACTTGTATACATTGTGAACTATCTGTTGGTGCAGCGAATTGTGGTAATGCTGGAGTATCTTTGCTGGTGGTGTCACCGGTGGTACAATTTTTCAAAGGAGCCATCAATTGGCTTAGTGTCATGGCATTTCTGTATCCTCCTCCCTTCTGCTAGTGATGGTCTAAAATTTGGGGACCAGCAGAGGTGAGGCAAAGAACCTCACCCCCCCAGTGGCACCAAGGCCAAATTTGGGGGTCAACAGAGGTGAGGCAAAGAACCTCACCCCCCCACTGGTACAAAGGCCTTTCCACAAGTATGGCTGTGTGCTGGACCGGTAGTCAGTGACGGGTATGATCCAATTGCAGTGGTACCAACCTAAGACAGGAGGCTGACGCCTAGAGGTCAGCTCATCCGATGACGGGTAAGGACCATATGTTGTATTGGACAACCTAACAGGCACGGTCCCTAAGCTACATTGCTTGTTGTTTAATTAAACAGAATGGGGGCGATGCTGAGAGCCACAGCCGAGTCGGTATGGCCCCTGGCATTTTGCCAACAGTGTTGGTTGACAGGCGAGGCATTACTCTCTGCCTCAGCTGCGACTTTGGAGTTCTTGCATTACTTTGGAGTTCTTGTGGGGATTCCCGGGGATTCCTGGAGTGTTCCCATTGGTTGGGGAAGTGCAGGAGGAGGGATTTCTGGAGGGGATATTTCTGGTTGCTGGTTCATGGAGGAGTCACTTGGCGGTCGGCAGATTTCCCAGGAGCGTGTGTGAAGTGTGCTGGTAGAGTTCAGAAATAAAGTTTGTTCCTGCTTCAGTGGCTCGTGATTTGTGCTCAGCCAGACTGTGGCAGACGTCGACTGCAGAGAGATTTAAAAAGAGTGGTGGATGCCAGATTAAAATTTAGCGAAGAGCTCAGCGGCGGCAGAATAAAGCCCAAGCCCGTGGAGATGCAGGTGATAACACATCACATGCAGCGCTACGCTGTGTGGTTTGGAGGCTGGATGCTGGCCTCCACGCCTGATTTCTTTCAGGTCTGTCACACCAAGAAGGACTATGAGGAGTACGGCTCCAGCATCTGCCGCCACAACCCCGTCTTCGGAGTCATGTCTAGGTGTCTGCCTTGAAGTCACATTCCATAGTGTCATGTTGGGAACGAGTGTCCTCAGAGCCCAGAGAAGACTGCAGCTCCTGTACAGGCGACGCTTAGTGTGGGGTCCCGCCGCGAGCTGGCAGTGCCCAGTGTACGAGGCACCGTGCTGTCTTCACGAAGCCATTCTTGACGTGCTGGCGGCGATCTGCCCTTCTGCCTCTCTCCCTCTCTGCCCCCCCCATCTGAGCTTCTAGTCAACAAATACAATTCTGAAGGAATTCAAATGCAACTTTAAAAATTATTAGAGAAAAAAATGGTGTGAAATAGTCCCCCCCTGGAAATATCGTGGGGACGTAAACACTGATCCTCCCAGCTTATTTTTTTAAATAAAACTTTATAAACTTGAAATACAAATCGATGTTTATATTTCCTATCATTTTGTATTTTATGGTATTTGGTACAACTGGCTGGTACTAAGCACGAGTAGATATTGATGTCATGGAGTGCTGTAATAAAGTTTTTAATTATGGGGCATGTTCCGATATGTTTATAGGCAAACAGAATAAAGGGAAGACTTTTTGCCACATGTTTAGTAGAAAATGATACACTTTCCTGGGGTGATGTGAAGTCTGAACACTAAACAGTGTTGTGTGAGAGTCATCATGGGTACTGTGTCTGTTAGTTGTTTTGTTTGAGCTTTCTGGAATTGTTTTATAGAAGATGATGGTTCGATGTTGGTGAGTGTTGGATGAAATGCTACCTTGCACCTTGTAATAAAAGCTGTTAGAATCTTTATAAATAAAAAATATGAATAATAATAAGTACTTTGCATGATTATAAATTTAAATAAGATGATAAATGCAAAATAATTTTTGCCATATTTGGTTTAAAGCTGCCCCAAAATGATAACCTGTAAGATGATGTAGGGTGAGGGGAAGATCACTTTAGTAGATGATGTAGGGTGAGGGGAAGATCACTTTAGTAGTTAGCAATTGTTGATAGTGTAAAATATATATTTTGTATGCTCAGTGTGCATTGTATTTTAATAAAATAGAGTGCTTATTGCTGTGCATATACTTATTGGAAGTTAGGCTCATATTCCTTTTGCTTTTAGAACTAGTAGAAAATACCTGTTTGGGGGACAGTGTTTTTAGATGTTATAAAATTCAGGAATATAAATTTTGGTCAGATAGTAGAGCATTGGTGGTGGTTAAGAATAAAAACTTTCAAATCAAACTTTGAATTTTTATTCTAGTACCAATACTTGCTTCCTTGTACTTTTTCTTGTCTCTGATGCTTAATTTTAAATTGTTTCTGAAATGAGAATAATGAAAAATCCTGTCTTCTACTTTGGAAGAGTTGAATGAGATAATCCATTTAAAGTATTTAGCATAGTGTCTAACAGGTAACAGCTGATCAACAGCTCTTAGTTATTGTTATTAATAATGATAAATAGGAGAATGGGTTAGTAGAGGGTAGGTATTTAGGTGCTAGAGAATATTGTTTGAAGCATTGTTATCAATAGTAATAAATGGGAGCCAATAGCAATTTTAAGTGTTCTAGCCTTGTAGTAATAAGAAACTGGTGATATTCATTATAATAACTTTAAAATTAATCCAGTATATCTAAAACATTCTCATTTCAACATGGTAATCAGTATCTTTTATTTTATTTATCTTTCTTGTACTGAGATTGAATTTAGGGGAGTTCTACAGTTCAGTTGTATGCCAGATTAAACAAAACAAAACAAAACAAAAAACCCAACTTTTATTGTGAGACAGGGTCTTTCTAAGTTTCTGAGGTTAACCTTGTGTTTGTGATTGTCTTGCTTCAGCCTTCCAATAGGCTAGGTTTCTAGGCATTCCTACTGTTTGTGGTGAAGATTTGGTTTTCATTCAGCCTCTTTCATTAAGTTGTGTATTTAGAATTTAGAATTTTACTTTGAAAAGTGTATATTTAGAATTAGCTAGCTGGATTCCAGTTTTGTTGGCAGAATCCAATGTGTCAGTCAGGAGCTGGTGGAACGTATGCTTTTTTCTCACATTTAGACCAGACAAAGGTGTTGACATTGGCCATGTATGCTTTTTTCTCACATTTAGACCAGACAAAGGTGTTGACATTGGCCATGTTAATGTTAGAGTTTTTTCTTAGCCTGTTTTATGTGATGGTCGATGGCCTTGACATCCGCAATGAAACAAGTGTGGTGTTGTCTTCTGTCTTCTTCATAGCTGACTCAGTGGTCAGGGGAAAATTGATTGTGGCATAGTAGTCCATAGTGCCTATGGGGAACTCTTTCAAGGTCTGCCTCTGTAGCTCCGGTATCTTGGACCACCAGAAGGAAGGTTGATATGTGATCTTTTTTCTTGTGGCTGTAGATACCTTTTAGCCTGGCTGGCTGGCTGGCTAGCTTGCTTGCTTCCTTCCTTCCTTGCACCTTCCTTCCTTCCTTCTCGCTTTCCTTCCCTCCCTCCATCCTTCTTTTCCTCCCTCCTTCCCTTGGATTGAACTCTGGGACAATAAAAACCGCAGAACCACATCCAAAGCCCTGTTTTGTATTTTATTTAGAAATAGTGTCTCAAGAGTTGTTTAGCACTTCACTTTTGCTGAAGCTGGCTTTGAACTCATGATCCTCCTGCCTCGGCTTCCCCAGCTGCTAGGATTATAGGCATGTTCAGCCACACCTGGGCCCAGCCTGGCTTTCTTGGTCTTCAAAGTCTTTACTTTGACTTTGGCTTTGGTGGTTTCCTTCTTTGCTTACTGTGCTTTCTTGATGAATAGAGCTATTTAACTTTTTATATTTGTATCTTGTGTTTAAAATCTTGGTTCCTAACGATAATAACATTATATTTCATAAATGTTTTGAAATAATACCAGTCTTATTAGTAATAAGACCTAACAAGTGGAACTTAACATTCTGTGTTATATGTATTTATATTCTTCTGATGTCTATTCCTCTAGGAATGTAAGGTCAATATTTATTTCAAATAAATATTGAAATGATATTTCTCATTGTACTTATACCACCAGCTTAGTAAAATAGGACATATATGAAATTTTGGTTTTTACTTTTAATTTTTTTTTCTTTCTTTCTTGCAGTACTAGGAGTTGAATTGAGAACCTTACATGTGCTAGGCTAGCACTCTACCACTGAATTATATCCCCAGTGCCAGTTTAAAATTATTTTTATTGTTTGGTTAATCACAATAGTGGAATTCATTATGCCATATTGGTTTTTAGTGTTTTTATATAAAGTATTTACATGATTTCAAAATGGTTAGGTTATTTTAAAAAATAATATTATCATCTTATTCTGTCAGTAACTAAAAAAAAAAATAAAGTTTTATTTTACCATATTTTAGGATTTTAAATGTTTTACTGGGTTTTGAACATACAGCATGTCATTTACAGTGCAGATGGTCTATCATTATATAAAAGTTGAGATTGTAGTATTTGCAGATAATGAATTTTTTATAATCCCTTTTCATTAGTTAATAAAATGTTTTTTTTTAAATTGTAGATGGAAACAATACCTTTATTTTATTTTTTATATGGGGCGGAGGCTCAAACCCATTGTCTCACACATGCTAGGCAAGCACGCTACCACTGAGCCACAACCCCAGCCCCTAATAAGATATTTTGCAGGTTAATATTACTGAAATTATGACATAGAGTTAAACTTTCAGATTATGTTGCTCAAATTTGCCAGAGTAGGAATTTATCTGTGGAGGAGAAAGGAATCTTTTCCTAAAAGTCGGTTGTATGCTACAATAATCTCCCATATCTGCAGTTTCAATTTCCATGGTTTCAGATAGCTGCAGTCAACCCTCATCTGAAATTCCTAGGTTCAGGAATTGAACCTAGGGGTGCTTTACCTCTCAGCTATATCCCCAACCCTTTTTTATATTTTATTTAGAGACAAGGTCTTGCTGAATTCCTTAGGGCCTTGCTAAGTTGCTGAGGCTGGCTTTGAACTTGCAATCCTCCTGCTATATCCTTAAATAACATTAAAGCATATTGTCATAATTGCTGTCTTTTATTATTAGTTATTATTATCTCTTACTGTGCCTAATTAAAAAATATTTATATATATATATATATATATATATAGTACTGGTGATTAAACTGAGGGTCATGTGCCACTGTCCAGCTTCATCTGAAAATATTAAGTGGAAAGTTTCACTTAATTCATAAGTTTTAAATAACATTACAGCATATTGTCATAATTGCTGTCTTTTATTATTAGTTATTATTATCTTACTGTGCCTAATTTAAAAAAATATATATTTATATATGTTTTTAATACTGGTGATTAAACTGAGGGGCATTTAACAACTGAGCTATATCCCTAGTCCTTTCTATTTTTTATTTTGCGACAGTCTCACTAAATTGCTGGGGGTCTTGGTAAGTTGCTCAGGCAATTTCAAATACCCCAGTTGCTTGTTTATACGTATGCTCTACCACATCTGATTCTAAGTTTTATAAATTAAACTATATTGTAGGTTGAGGAAATGACAGTATATATACGGTTTGATATTACTGAGAGTTCCATGCATTGAACCAAAGTCTTGAAATGTATCACCCAAGCATAAGAATTGTGCCAACTGATTGGCACGATTGTTAATGCTTCTTAGGAATCATTTGGACAGACCTTTAACAATGTGTTAAAAATGATTTTTTTTCTAACAGTATAGAAAATTTTTAATTTCTATTTTGTGGACATATTTGATTATTTCAGTTGTTTATTATTTGCTGTTGTGAGACTGAGTGCAATATTACTAGATATTACTAATGCCTAATGCCTGCCACAAGATGAGCGATCAATAAAATTGAGTTCTGATCTTTGTGGATCCTAGATGTGCTGCTCTTTAGGTTTTGGAAGAGGGTAGTATAGTTATACAAGTATATTGTGGAATCTTGGAAGAGTTATGTGTTCTTTTCAGTGTACAACCTTCCCTTGGAGCTTTCTTCCTATTTACTTCTACTTCACCTTTTCTCTTTTGTAAGTTATGTCCAGAAGACTCATTTGCAGTTATCTGCACACCACTTCGGTGTCTGCTTTGTATTTGTTCTGTTTCTGTTACCTAAAAATAGATTAGAAATTTATCCTGTTAATCATAATCTGAAAAGTGAATCTTCAAGTTTTATGTTATGTCCTGGATGAGTCCACTTTGCCCAATCTTAAATTGGGTCATATGATGATAAAAATTATTGGTGCATTTTCCATGTCACTGTAGAAATAATTTATGGAAAACATGGAATTTCCAAGAGCCTTTTTAAGTTTATAAATCAGTAACATTGAAATTGAACATTTTAAACTGGAACTGTTCCCAGAATATTCAGAATATAACATTTTTATAGGCACATGCAACACTTCAAAAAAGCAGATTGTTGGGGAGCATGATCAGGATGACAGCAAAATTATATCAAATGTAATTTATAATGAAATAAGGAAGTAGACAGCTTATATTAGAGGGTATATTCATATTGTTTAAGTTTAATGTTTTGAATGAGTAAAACATATGGCAGAAACCTTATAAAAATACATATACAAGGAATATATGTATTTTTGTATAGGAATATATATATTTCATCCCACCCTTTCCTCTCCATTTGTTGAGTTTTTCTTCTTTTATTTTTTAATATTTATTTTTTAGTTTTAAGTAGACATCTTCATTTTTTATTTTAATGTGGATGCAGAGTATCGAACCCAGTGTCTCATGTGTGCTAGGCGAGCACCATAACACTGAGTTCCAGCTCAAGTTTCCCTTCTTTATGCATATATCTTACTATTATTTATCTCTTATAT